CTTTATGTTTGAGTATCTGTAATTTCACCATCAGAGAATGTGATAACACAAGGCTTCTAATTTCACGTGCTTTCACAAGTGCAAAGAGAAAAAGGAAAGAGGCAGGGGTGTGTGTGCATCATTGTGGATATTAGAGAAAGAGAGACTACTAAAAGGATAACTTCATATCTTTTGAATTTAAGAAATAAACTAGAGTATCCTGCCTAATGTCTGAGAAGTGTCCAACTTGGAAAATTTTGATTATTTTCCTTTAGTGGTGAGTCACATGAAGAGTTCTGTGCAGAATCCTCTTAGTCATGGTGTACAGTGGTCACCATTATGGGCCGTTTTCCTTGTATCGTTGTGCTAGATGACACTGTCTCCACTCCTTCATCATCTGTAACTGCTGACATTTCAATTATACCATCATATAACTTATATTCTGACAACGCCAATGCTAAACTTTAGTAAACACTTCTACCTGCACTAATCCATGTGTCTACTGAGTCCTTGAAACCTGGCTTAGAGAAATGGAGCTGTTCAATGGGTACCAAGTTTCACTTATGCAACGTGACTAAGTTCCAGAGACACGTGAGTAAGTTCCAGGGACCTGCTGTATAGCACAGTGCCTGCAGCTAACGACAAGGTATCGTGCACTTCAGAGTTTTCTAAGCTGGGAGATCTTATTTTAAGCATTCTCATCACACACAAGAGGAGACATGAGGAAACTTTTTGAGGTGATAAATATGTCTATTACCTTGACTGGGGTGATATCACGAGTGCATATGTATGTCCAAACTCAACAAATTGTATACATTAAATGTGCAGTTTTTGTGATATCAGTTATACCTCAATAAAATTGTTTTTTAAAAAAGATTAAGTACTAAAAAAAGAACGTAAAATACTTATTGCCATTTTTATACTGATTACATGTTGAAATGATAATATTTTGGATATATTAGATTACATAAGATATATTATTAAAATTAATTTCACCTTTTTTTTTTTTACTTTTTAAAATGTGGGTACCAGAAAATTTAAAATTACATATGTAGTTCGCATTTAATTTCTGTTAAGCAGCATTGCCATGCACCAGGTCCGTCAGTCACTGTGTTGACTGTCTTAGGTGGATTTTCTTATCTGATCCCCCCAATAGCAGGACAAGGGGACTTCTGTAGCCTCCAGCTTCCAAATGAGCAGATTCATGCTCAGTAGATTAAGTATTGTCCCCAAGGTCAATGGAATGATAACACGAACAATCTGACTTCAGAGCTCTAGAACTTGATCTCTGAACTATTCTAAACTCTCTAAACTGGATTAAAATCCTACTAACTACTGAAAGACTGACAGGGCATGTTGCCTGTTCAGGAACTGTACAGGTTCGTTTGAGGTGAGGGAAGCTAAGGGAAAAAAGAGACTAATCTCTGAGCGGGACCTGCATTGAATTTCTTACTTTCACACTTACTTCTCCCAAATTCACCTGTCCATTGCCTCTAAGGTGGCCACTGCGACGCCAGCATCAGTCCCTCCAGGCCTTGTCCAATCGTCCGCATCCCAGTCCACGCTGGCAGGAGTGGCTCCCTCTTCCAGATCCCACAGCTCTCTATCTGCCCTCATGTTCATACGGCTGTGCGTGTATCCACTTGTCTCCCCAGTGACCTTGTCAGCTTCTCGAGGCAGAATCCACATCTTTCTCATTTTTGACATTGCCCCAACCCCCCCCCCCCCCGAATCCCAACAACAACTACCGCCTGCCCTCCTGCGGGCCT